CAGTTTGGAGTTTTTCCTCTGAGCAGAAATAACTCTGGAAAACGAAACTCTCGTCTCTCTCTGGTCTCTCTCTGGTCTCTCTCTGGTCTCTCTCTGGTCTCTCTCTGGTCCCTCTCTGGTCTCTCTCTGGTCCCTCTCTGGTCCCTCTCTGGTCTCTCTCTGGTCCCTCTCTGGTCCCTCTCTGGTCCCTCTCTGGTCCCTCTCTGGTCCCTCTCTGGTCCCTCTCTGGTCCCTCTCTGGTCCCTCTCTGGTCTCGCTGGTCTCCCATCACAGCATTACCCAGTCCCTCTCCTGCTGATCATCTTTCAGCTTGAATCCAGTCCTGGCTCCAGAGAAACAAAAGTAAAAGGATATTTTTAGTGGAAAGTGGAGGAGGAAGTCCTTATTTGGAGCCAGCGTTGCCGTGGATACCTGCTTTTTACACAGGCACAGACACAGATCAGGTTAAAAATAAAAACTCAAATATTCAACTGCTTTAGACCTGCTTTAGACCTGCTTTAGTCCTGCTTTAGACCTGCTTTAGACCTGCTTTAGTCCTACTTTAGTCCTGCTTTAGTCCTGCTTTAGTCCTGCTTTAGTCCTGCTTTAGACCTGCTTTAGTCCTGCTTTAGTCCTGCTTTAGACCTGCTTTAGTCCTGCTTTAGTCCTGCTTTAGTCCTGCTTTAGTCCTGCTTTAGACCTGCTTTAGTCCTGCTTTAGTCCTGCTTTAGACCTGCTTTAGACCTGCTTTAGACCTGCTTTAGTCCTGCTTTAGTCCTGCTTTAGACCTGCTTTAGTCCTGCTTTAGACCTGCTTTAGTCCTGCTTTAGACCTGCTTTAGTCCTGCTTTAGACCTGCTTTAGTCCTGCTTTAGTCCTGCTTTAGACCTGCTTTAGTCCTGCTTTAGACCTGCTTTAGTCCTGCTTTAGTCCTGCTTTAGTCCTGCTTTAGACCTGCTTTAGTCCTGCTTTAGTCCTGCTTTAGACCTGCTTTAGTCCTGCTTTAGTCCTGCTTTAGTCCTGCTTTAGTCCTTCTTTAGACCTGCTTTAGTCCTGCTTTAGTCCTGCTTTAGACCTGCTTTAGTCCTGCTTTAGACCTGCTTTAGTCCTGCTTTAGACCTGTTTTAGTCCTGCTTTAGTCCTGCTTTAGACCTGCTTTAGTCCTGCTTTAGTCCTGCTTTAGACCTGCTTCAGTCCTGCTTTAGTCCTGCTTTAGACCTGCTTTAGACCTGCTTTAGACCTGCTTTAGACCTGCTTTAGTCCTGCTTTAGTCCTGCTTTAGACCTGCTTTAGACCTGCTTTAGACCTGCTTTAGACCTGCTTTAGACCTGCTTTAGACCTTCTTTAGACCTGCTTTAGTCCTGCTTTAGTCCTGCTTTAGACCTGCTTTAGTCCTGCTTTAGAAGTGCTTTAGTCCTGCTTTGGTCCTGCTTTAGTCCTTCTTTAGACCTGCTTTAGTCCTGCTTTAGTCCTGCTTTAGACCTGCTTTAGTCCTGCTTTAGACCTGCTTTAGACCTGCTTTAGACCTGCTTTAGACCTTCTTTAGACCTGCTTTAGTCCTGCTTTAGTCCTGCTTTAGACCTGCTTTAGTCCTGCTTTAGAAGTGCTTTAGTCCTGCTTTGGTCCTGCTTTAGTCCTTCTTTAGACCTGCTTTAGTCCTGCTTTAGTCCTGCTTTAGACCTGCTTTAGTCCTGCTTTAGACCTGCTTTGGTCCTGCTTTAGACCTGCTTTAGTCCTGCTTTAGTCCTGCTTTAGACCTGCTTTAGTCCTGCTTTAGTCCTGCTTTAGACCTGCTTTAGTCCTGCTTTAGACCTGCTTTGGTCCTGCTTTAGACCTGTTTTAGTCCTGCTTTAGTCCTGCTTTAGACCTGTTTTAGTCCTGCTTAAGTCCTGCTTTAGACCTGTTTTAGTCCTGCTTTAGACCTGCTTTAGTCCTGCTTTAGACCTGTTTTAGTCCTGCTTTAGTCCTGCTTTAGACCTGTTTTAGTCCTGCTTTACACCTGCTTTAGACCTGCTTTAGTCCTTCTTTAGACCTGCTTTAGTCCTTCTTTAGTCCTGCTTTAGACCTGCTTTAGTCCTTCTTTAGACCTGCTTTAGTCCTGCTTTAGTCCTTCTTTAGACCTGCTTTAGTCCTGCTTTAGACCTGCTTTAGACCTGCTTTAGTCCTGCTTTAGACCTGCTTTAGTCCTGCTTTAGACCTGCTTTAGACCTGCTTTAGTCCTGCTTTAGACCTGCTTTAGACCTGCTTTAGTCCTGCTTTAGACCTGCTTTAGTCCTTCTTTAGACCTGCTTTAGTCCTGCTTTAGTCCTTCTTTAGACCTGCTTTAGACCTGCTTTAGACCTGCTTTAGACCTGCTTTAGTCCTGCTTTAGTCCTGCTTTAGTCCTGCTTTAGACCTGCATTAGACCTGCTTTAGACCTGGTTTAGACCTGCTTTAGAACTGTTTTAGTTCTGCTTTAGACCTGCTTTGGTCCTGCTTTAGACCTGCTTTAGTCCTGCTTTAGACCTGCTTTAGTCCTGCTTTAGTCCTGCTTTAGATCTGCTTTAGACCTGCTTTAGCCCTGCTTTAGTCCTGTTTTAGACCTGCTTTAGTCCTGCTTTAGTCCTGCTTTAGACCTGCTTTAGACCTGCTTTAGACCTGCTTTAGTCCTGCTTTAGTCCTGCTTTAGTCCTGCTTTAGACCTGCTTTAGACCTGCTTTAGTCCTGCCTTAGACCTGCTTTAGTCCTGCTTTAGTCCTGCTTTAGACCTGCTTTAGTCCTGCTTTAGTCCTGCTTTAGTCCTGCTTTAGACCTGCTTTAGTCCTGCTTTAGACCTGCTTTAGTCCTGCTTTAGTCCTGCTTTAGTCCTGCTTTAGTCCTGCTTTAGTCCTGCTTTAGTCCTGCTTTAGACCTGCTTTAGTCCTGCTTTAGTCCTGCTTTAGACCTGCTTTAGTCCTGCTTTAGACCTGCTTTAGTCCTGCTTTAGACCTGCTTTAGTCCTGCTTTAGACCTGCTTTAGACCTGCTTTAGACCTGCTTTAGACCTGCTTTAGACCTGCTTTAGTCCTGCTTTAGACCTGCTTTAGACCTGCTTTAGACCTGCTTTAGTCCTGCTTTAGTCCTGCTTTAGACCTGCTTTAGACCTGCTTTAGTCCTGCTTTAGTCCTGCTTTAGTCCTGCTTTAGACCTGCTTTAGTCCTGCTTTAGTCCTGCTTTAGACCTGCTTTAGACCTGCTTTAGTCCTGCTTTAGACCTGCTTTAGTCCTGCTTTTAGACCTGCTTTAGACCTGCTTTAGTCCTGCTTTAGACCTGCTTTAGTCCTGCTTTAGTCCTGCTTTAGATCTGCTTTAGACCTGCTTTAGACCTGCTTTAGACCTGCTTTAGTCCTGCTTTAGACCTGCTTTAGTCCTGCTTTAGACCTGCTTTAGACCTGCTTTAGTCCTGCTTTAGACCTGCTTTAGTCCTGCTTTAGTCCTGCTTTAGACCCGCTTTAGACCTGCTTTAGACCTGCTTTAGTCCTGCTTTAGACCTGCTTTAGACCTGCTTTAGACCTGCTTTAGACCTGCTTTAGTCCTGCTTTAGACCTGCTTTAGTCCTGCTTTAGTCCTGCTTTAGTCCTGCTTTAGACCTGCTTTAGCCTGCTTTAGTCCTGCTTTAGACCTGCTTTAGACCTGCTTTAGTCCTGCTTTAGTCCTGCTTTAGTCCTGCTTTAGACCTGCTTTAGTCCTGCTTTAGACCTGCTTTAGACCTGCTTTAGTCCTGCTTTATTCCTGCTTAACCTGCTTTAGTCCTGCTTTAGACCTGCTTTAGTCCTGCTTTAGTCCTGCTTTAGTCCTGCTTTAGTCTCCTGCTTTAGTCCTGACCTGCTTTAGTCCTGCTTTAGTCCTGCTTTAGACCTGCTTTAGTCCTGCTTTAGTCCTGCTTTAGTCCTGCTTTAGTCCTGCTTTAGTCCTGCTTTAGACCTGCTTTAGTCCTGCTTTAGACCTGCTTTAGTCCTGCTTTAGACCTGCTTTAGTCCTGCTTTAGTCCTGCTTTAGTCCTGCTTTAGACCTGCTTTAGTCCTGCTTTAGTCCTGCTTTAGTCCTGCTTTAGTCCTGCTTTAGACCTGCTTTAGTCCTGCTTTAGTCCTGCTTTAGTCCTGCTTTAGTCCTGCTTTAGTCCTGCTTTAGACCTGCTTTAGACCTGCTTTAGACCTGCTTTAGTCCTGCTTTAGACCTGCTTTAGTCCTGCTTTAGACCTGCTTTAGTCCTGCTTTAGACCTGCTTTAGTCCTGCTTTAGTCCTGCTTTAGACCTGCTTTAGTCCTGCTTTAGTCCTGCTTTAGTCCTGCTTTAGACCTGCTTTAGACCTGCTTTAGACCTGCTTTAGACCTGCTTTAGTCCTGCTTTAGACCTGCTTTAGACCTGCTTTAGACCTGCTTTAGACCTGCTTTAGTCCTGCTTTAGACCTGCTTTAGTCCTGCTTTAGACCTGCTTTAGACCTGCTTTAGACCTGCTTTAGTCCTGCTTTAGACCTGCTTTAGTCCTGCTTTAGTCCTGCTTTAGACCTGCTTTAGTCCTGCTTTAGACCTGCTTTAGACCTGCTTTAGTCCTGCTTTAGACCTGCTTTAGTCCTGCTTTAGTCCTGCTTTAGACCTGCTTTAGTCCTGCTTTAGACCTGCTTTAGTCCTGCTTTAGTCCTGCTTTAGTCCTGCTTTAGTCCTGCTTTAGTCCTGCTTTAGACCTGCTTTAGTCCTGCCTTAGACCTGCTTTAGTCCTGCTTTAGTCCTGCTTTAGACCTGCTTTAGTCCTGCCTTAGACCTGCTTTAGTCCTGCTTTAGTCCTGCTTTAGTCCTGCTTTAGTCCTGCTTTAGTCCTGCTTTAGACCTGCTTTAGTCCTGCTTTAGTCCTGCTTTAGACCTGCTTTAGTCCTGCTTTAGACCCGCTTTAGACCCGCTTTAGACTCGCTTTAGTCCTGCTTTAGTCCTGCTTTAGACCTGCTTTAGACCTGCTTTAGACCTGCTTTAGACCTGCTTTAGACCTGCTTTAGACCTGTTTTACTCTCAGATTGTGAGGAGCGTCAAAGCCAAGGAAAGACCAAAAGAAGAAATTCAAAAGAAGAAGAAGGACACGCCGGAGAGCCAGACCATAGTCCAGACCAGGTACATGTCCAGAAAGGACCAGAACCAGATGAGCGAGACCAGAGAGCGAGACCAGAGAGCGAGACCAGAGAGCGAGACCAGAGAGCGAGACCAGAGAGCGAGACCAGAGAGCGAGACCAGAGAGCGAGACCAGAGAGCGAGACCAGAGAGCGAGACCAGAGAGCGAGACCAGAGAGCGAGACCAGAGAGCGAGACCAGAGAGCGAGACCAGAGAGCGAGACCAGAGAGCGAGACCAGAGAGCGAGACCAGAGAGCGAGACCAGAGAGCGAGACCAGAGAGCGAGACCAGAGAGCGAGACCAGAGAGCGAGACCAGAGAGCGAGACCAGAGAGCGAGACCAGAGAGCGAGACCAGAGAGCGAGACCAGAGAGCGAGACCAGAGAGCGAGACCAGAGAGCGAGACCAGAGAGCGAGACCAGAGAGCGAGACCAGAGAGCGAGACCAGAGAGCGAGACCAGAGAGCGAGACCAGAGAGCGAGACCAGAGAGCGAGACCAGAGAGCGAGACCAGAGAGCGAGACCAGAGAGCGAGACCAGAGAGCGAGACCAGAGAGCGAGACCAGAGAGCGAGACCAGAGAGCGAGACCAGAGAGCGAGACCAGAGAGCGAGACCAGAGAGCGAGACCAGAGAGCGAGACCAGAGAGCGAGACCAGAGAGCGAGACCAGAGAGCGAGACCAGAGAGCGAGACCAGAGAGCGAGACCAGAGAGCGAGACCAGAGAGCGAGACCAGAGAGCGAGACCAGAGAGCGAGACCAGAGAGCGAGACCAGAGAGCGAGACCAGAGAGCGAGACCAGAGAGCGAGACCAGAGAGCGAGACCAGAGAGCGAGACCAGAGAGCGAGACCAGAGAGCGAGACCAGAGAGCGAGACCAGAGAGCGAGACCAGAGAGCGAGACCAGAGAGCGAGACCAGAGATCAGCATTAACATTGAGGTCTGTGGCTTTCAGGGAGCTTGGTCTCTCTGCGGGCGATGAAGACGAGCTCGGGGGAGGGAAGAGGAGGAAGACGAGGCCCCAGGCGGACGACCCGGCCGAGCTCTGGGTCCAGCGCCGACACCAGCGGCGCCAGAACAAACTGAAGGAGAAGGAGCGGGAGAACCGGACTGTGTTTGTGGGCAACCTGCCGCTGTCTGCCACCAAAAAGGTACCACCCAGCAAGGGATAGACCTGCTTTAGACCTGCTTTAGTCCTGCTTTAGACCTGCTTTAGTCCTGCTTTAGACCTGCTTTAGTCCTGCTTTAGTCCTGCTTTAGTCCTGCTTTAGTCCTGCTTTAGTCCTGCTTTAGTCCTGCTTTAGACCTGCTTTAGTCCTGCTTTAGACCTGCTTTAGACCTGCTTTAGTCCTGCTTTAGACCTGCTTTAGACCTGCTTTAGAACTTGCTTTAGTCCTGCTTTAGTCCTGCTTTAGACCTGCTTTAGTCCTGCTTTAGACCTGCTTTAGTCCTGCTTTAGTCCTGCTTTAGTCCTGCTTTAGACCTGCTTTAGACCTGCTTGAGACCTGCTTTAGTCCTGCTTTAGACCTGCTTTAGACCTGCTTTAGTCCTGCTTTAGACCTGCTTTAGACCTGCTTTAGTCCTGCTTTAGACCTGCTTTAGACCTGCTTTAGTCCTGCTTTAGACCTGCTTTAGACCTGCTTTAGTCCTGCTTTAGACCTGCTTTAGTCCTGCTTTAGTCCTGCTTTAGACCTGCTTTAGTCCTGCTTTAGTCCTGCTTTAGTCCTGCTTTAGTCCTGCTTTAGACCTGCTTTAGTCCTGCTTTAGTCCTGCTTTAGACCTGCTTTAGTCCTGCTTTAGTCCTGCTTTAGTCCTGCTTTAGTCCTGCTTTAGTCCTGCTTTAGACCTGCTTTAGACCTGCTTTAGACCTGCTTTAGTTCTGCTTTAGTCCTGCTTTAGACCTGCTTTAGACCTGCTTTAGACCTGCTTTAGTCCTGCTTTAGTCCTGCTTTAGTCCTGCTTTAGACCTGCTTTAGACCTGCTTTAGTCCTGCTTTAGTCCTGCTTTAGACCTGCTTTAGTCCTGCTTTAGTCCTGCTTTAGTCCTGCTTTAGTCCTGCTTTAGACCTGCTTTAGTCCTGCTTTAGTCCTGCTTTAGTCCTGCTTTAGTCCTGCTTTAGTCCTGCTTTAGTCCTGCTTTAGACCTGCTTTAGACCTGCTTTAGTCCTGCTTTAGTCCTGCTTTAGACCTGCTTTAGTCCTGCTTTAGACCTGCTTTAGACCTGCTTTAGACCTGCTTTAGTCCTGCTTTAGTCCTGCTTTAGACCTGCTTTAGTCCTGCTTTAGACCTGCTTTAGACCTGCTTTAGTCCTGCTTTAGACCTGCTTTAGACCTGCTTTAGACCTGCTTTAGTCCTGCTTTAGTCCTGCTTTAGACCTGCTTTAGTCCTGCTTTAGACCTGCTTTAGTCCTGCTTTAGTCCTGCTTTAGACCTGCTTTAGTCCTGCTTTAGACCTGCTTTAGACCTGCTTTAGACCTGCTTTAGTCCTGCTTTAGACCTGCTTTAGACCTGCTTTAGTTCTGCTTTAGACCTGCTTTAGACCTGCTTTAGTCCTGCTTTAGACCTGCTTTAGACCTGCTTTAGTCCTGCTTTAGACCTGCTTTAGACCTGCTTTAGTCCTGCTTTAGACCTGCTTTAGACCTGCTTTAGACCTGCTTTAGTCCTGCTTTAGTCCTGCTTTAGACCTGCTTTAGTCCTGCTTTAGACCTGCTTTAGACCTGCTTTAGACCTGCTTTAGTCCTGCTTTAGACCTGCTTTAGACCTGCTTTAGTCCTGCTTTAGACCTGCTTTAGACCTGCTTTAGTCCTGCTTTAGACCTGCTTTAGTCCTGCTTTAGTCCTGCTTTAGACCTGCTTTAGACCTGCTTTAGACCTGCTTTAGACCTGCTTTAGTCCTGCTTTAGACCTGCTTTAGACCTGCTTTAGTCCTGCTTTAGACCTGCTTTAGTCCTGCTTTAGACCTGCTTTAGTCCTGCTTTAGACCTGCTTTAGACCTGCTTTAGTCCTGCTTTAGACCTGCTTTAGACCTGCTTTAGACCTGCTTTAGACCTGCTTTAGTCCTGCTTTAGACCTGCTTTAGTCCTGCTTTAGACCTGCTTTAGACCTGCTTTAGACCTGCTTTAGTCCTGCTTTAGACCTGCTTTAGACCTGCTTTAGACCTGCTTTAGAACTTGCTTTAGTCCTGCTTTAGTCCTGCTTTAGACCTGCTTTAGTCCTGCTTTAGTCCTGCTTTAGACCTGCTTTAGACCTGCTTTAGACCTGCTTTAGACCTGCTTTAGACCTGCTTTAGTCCTGCTTTAGTCCTGCTTTAGTCCTGCTTTAGACCTGCTTTAGACCTGCTTTAGACCTGCTTTAGTCCTGCTTTAGACCTGCTTTAGTCCTGCTTTAGTCCTGCTTTAGACCTGCTTTAAAGTTATTTACACTGAATACTTTTTTGTTACAGTTTATAGAATTCAAAAGCAAAAAAAAGTGTTGATAATAAAAACACAAAATAACCTTCATACGTTTCTCTCTTTGTTGTTTCTATGGTCTCTCTCTGTCTTGTCTCTCTCTGGTCTCTCTCTGGTCTCTCTCTGGTCTCTCTCTGGTCTCTCTCTGGTCTCTCTCTGATCTCTCTCTCTGGTCTCTCTCTGATCTCTCTCTGATCTCTCTCTGATCTCTCTCTGGTCTCTCTCTGATCTCTCTCTGGTCTCTCTCTGGTCTCTCTCTGGTCTCTCTCTGGTCTCTCTCTGATCTCTCTCCTCTGATCTCTCTCTGATCTCTCTCTAGTCTCTCTCTGATCTCTCTCTGATCTCTCTCTGGTCTCTCTCTGGTCTCTCTCTGATCTCTCTCTCTGGTCTCTCTCTGATCTCTCTCTCTGGTCTCTCTCTGATCTCTCTCTGGTCTCTCTCTGATCTCTCTGGTCTCTCTCTGGTCTCTCTCTGGTCTCTCTCTGATATTAAGTCTTTCAGAAGGCCCAGGTTTGTTCAGCAGAGAGAGACAGAGCAGCAATTATACAGGGTCTGTCAGTGTAGAAATATGTTTCAGACAGAGAGGGAGCAGAGCGAGAGAGATCAGATAGAGAGAGAGCGAAAGACCATGTACTGACAAATAAGATGTGACAATTTTTTTTCTGGAAGTTAGAAAAATTAGTCTTTAGTTTAGAGAAAAACCTCTAAACTCCTACTGTTACCATAGTTACAGGAGTCTCACTGCCCTCCACCACGATATGAAGCGTTGTGATGTCACATGAACGCAAACCTTTTCCAATTCTCTCTTTTCACCTTCACTCTGTTCAATCAATCTTCTCCTGTGCTCTTGTTCCAGCGCCATCAGCTCCCGAGGCCGTCCCTGCAGCTCCCGAGGCCGTCCCTGCAGCTCCCGAGGCCCCTGCAGCTCCCGAGGCCGTCCCTGCAGCTCCCGAGGCCCCTGCAGCTCCCGAGGCCGTCCCTGCAGCTCCCGAGGCCGTCCCTGCAGCTCCCGAGGCCGTCCCTGCAGCTCCCGAGGCCGTCCCTGCAGCTCCCGAGGCCCCTTTAGCTCCCGAGGCCCCTTCAGCTCCCGAGGCCCCTTCAGCTCCCGAGGCCCCTTCAGCTCCCGAGGCCCCTTCAGCTCCCGAGGCCCCTGCAGCTCCCGAGGCCCCTGCAGCTCCCGAGGCCCCTGCAGCTCCCGAGGCCCCTGCAGCTCCCGAGGCCCCTGCAGCTCCCGAGGCCGTCCCTGCAGCTCCCGAGGCCGTCCCTGCAGCTCCTGAGGCCGTCCCTGCAGCTCCCGAGGCCCCTTTAGCTCCCGAGGCCCCTGCAGCTCCCGAGGCCCCTTCAGCTCCCGAAGCCCCTGCAGCTCCCCAGGCCCCTGCAGCTCCCGAGGCCCCTTCAGCTCCCGAGGCCGCCCCTGCAGCTCCCGAGGTTCCTGCAGCCGCCGCTCGGACCACAATACCAGTGCCTTCAGTAAAAAACAGTGAAACAGTCTCCACGAGTCCAAAACCAGTCTCCAAATCCTCTGGTCCACTCAGTCCTGCTCCAGACCTTCAAACCACCACCACAGACGCCTCTTTGAAGACTTCAGGAAGTACTGTCGACTCGGGAAAGACGAGAGAAACCCCTAAGGACAGTTTAAGAACTTCAGTGGATCCCAAACATACCGGACTAACAGACTCCCAAAAGTCTGTGGCGACGCTGGACCAAAAGACTGAGGGGAATGTGATGAATGCTAATGATGCTAATGAGGCTAATGATGCCGGGGTTTCTAAGGTAACCCAACAGAGCACGAGCATGGGGCCTGGGGATCCGCTCATGGACAAGACTGAGGTGAGAAACCCTACACAATACAAGACTAGAATATACAGGGAAAGTATTCGGCCCCTTGAACCTTTCAACATTTCGCCACATTTCAGGCTTCAAACATAAAGATATAAAAATGTAATTCTTTGTCAAGAATCAACAAGTGGGACACAATCGTGAAGTGGAACGAAATTTATTGGATAATTTAAACTTTTTTAACAAATAAAAAACTGAAAAGTTGGGCGTGCAATATTATTCGGCCCCTTGTGCTAATACTTTGTAGCGCCACCTTTTGCTGCAATTACAGCTGCAAGTCGCTTGGGGTATGTCTCTATCAGTTTTGCACATCGAGAGACTGGAATTCTTGCCCATTCTTCCTTGCAAAACAGCTCGAGCTCAGTGAGGTTGGATGGAGAGCGTTTGTGAACAGCAGTCTTCAGCTCTTTCCACAGATTCTCGATTGGATTCAGGTCTGGACTTTGACTTGGCCATTCTAACACCTGGATACGTCTATTTGTGAACCATTCCATTGTAGATTTGGCTTTATGTTTTGGATCATTGTCCTGTTGGAAGATAAATCTCCGTCCCAGTCTCAGGTCTTTTGCAGACTCCAACAGGTTTTCTTCCAGAATGGTCCTGTATTTGGCTCCATCCATCTTCCCATCAATTTTAGCCATCTTCCCTGTCCCTGCTGAAGAAAAGCAGGCCCAAAGCATGATGCTGCCACCACCATGTTTGACAGTGGGGATGGTGTGTTCAGGGTGATGAGCTGTGTTGCTTTTACGCCAAACATATCGTTTTGCATTGTGGCCAAAAAGTTCGATTTTGGTTTCATCTGACCAGAGCACCTTCTTCCACATGTTTGGTGTGTCTCCCAGGTGGCTTGTGGCAAACTTTAAAGTGATTGTCTGGAGTTTGTCAGAAAGAGAGACAGAGAGGTACTTGATTTGAAAAAAACGACGCAAGCTCCCTCCCCCTTCCTTTCTGATTGGTCCACACCTACGTTTCCGTAACACTTTGAAATGTTAATCAGAGAACATATTATACATATACATTATTAATACACATGCACGGAGGTTTTCAGAATTATTTGTGAACGTTTTCATGAAAAAAAATGTTTTTATGCACACAAAAAAGCGATCGCGGCAAACCAGGAAGTGCTATTATCATGAATTGCACATTATAGGACACATCTGCAGAGGATCTGATTATGGATATAGGTTCAGTATATACATAAGTACCTCAGCGTGGATGTTCAGAATTATTTGTTCAGTTTTCATGTAGTTCCAGAGCCTAATAGAGGCTCCGCAAAAACAAACAACTGCGCATGCGCGCAACTGCGAGCATCAGCGCCGATGATTGACAGCCCTTGGCATGACTCGATTGGTTAACCTCGACGGCACCGTGGATTCTGAACTATAGCTAAGAGCAGGGAAGGCCGGACTTGCCCGTAATATTAGAATTCATAAAATGACTTATATCAACATTTAAGGCCGGGAGGTCAATTTAACACATTTCCTAAAATTTGTAATTCATTTAGAGTTACAGACTATCACTTTAAACAATACTTTTTATGGATATCTTTGAGAAATGGCTTTCTTCCTGCCACTCTTCCATAAAGGCCAGATTTGTGCAGTGCACGACTGATTGTTGTCCTATGGACAGACTCTCCCACTTCAGCTGTAGTTATCTGCAGTTCATCCAGAGTGATCATGGGCCTCTTGGCTGCATCTCTGATCAGTCTTCTCCGATCAGTCTTCTCCTTGTTTGAGATGAAAGTTTGGAGGGACGGCCGGGTCTTGGTAGATTTGCAGTGGTCTGATACTCCTTCCATTTCAATATAATTGCTTGCACAGTGCTCCATGAGATGTTTAAAGCTTGGGAAATCTTTTTGTATCCAAATCCGGCTTTAAACTTCTCCACAACAGTATCTCGGACCTGCCTGGTGTGTTCCTTTGTCTTCATGGCTCTCTCTGTGCTTTAAACAGAACCCTGAGACTATCAAAGAGCAGGTGCATTTATACGGAGACTTGATTACACTCAGGTGCATTCTATTTATCATCATCAGTCATTTAGGACAACATTGGATCATTCAAAGATCCTCACTGAACTTCTGGACTGAGTTTGCTGCACTGAAAGTAAAGGGGCCAAAGAATATTGCACGCCCCACTTTTCAGTTTTTTATTTGTTAAAAAAGTTTAAATTATCCAATACATTTCGTTACACTTCACGATTGTGTCCCACTTGTTGTTGATACATGACAAAAATTTTAAATTTTATATCTTTATGTTTGAAGCCTGAAATGTGTCAAAATGTTAAAAGGTTGAAGGGGGCCGAATACTTTCGCAAGGCACTGTATATCACGTATGAGAGAGAGAGGGAGGCCATAGAGGGAGAGAGAGGCCATAGAGTGAGAGAGAGGCCAGAGTGTGAGAGAGAGGCCAGAGTGTGAGAGAGAGGCCAGAGTGTGAGAGAGAGGCCAGAGTGTGAGAGAGAGGCCAGAGTGTGAGAGAGAGGCCAGAGTGTGAGAGAGAGGCCAGAGTGTGAGAGAGAGGCCAGAGTGTGAGAGAGAGGCCAGAGTGTGAGAGAGAGGCCAGAGTGTGAGAGAGAGGCCAGAGTGTGAGAGAGAGGCCAGAGTGTGAGAGAGAGGCCAGAGTGTGAGAGAGAGGCCAGAGTGTGAGAGAGAGGCCAGAGTGTGAGAGAGAGGCCAGAGTGTGAGAGAGAGGCCAGAGTGTGAGAGAGAGGCCAGAGTGTGAGAGAGAGGCCAGAGTGTGAGAGAGAGGCCAGAGTGTGAGAGAGAGGCCAGAGTGTGAGAGAGAGGCCATAGAGGGAGAGAGAGAGGCCAGAGTGTGAGAGAGAGGCCAGAGTGTGAGAGAGAGGCCAGAGTGTGAGAGAGAGGCCAGAGTGTGAGAGAGAGGCCAGAGTGTGAGAGAGAGGCCAGAGTGTGAGAGAGAGGCCAGAGTGTGAGAGAGAGGCCAGAGTGTGAGAGAGAGGCCAGAGTGTGAGAGAGAGGCCAGAGTGTGAGAGAGAGGCCATAGAGGGAGAGAGAGAGGCCATAGAGGGAGAGAGAGAGGCCATAGAGGGAGAGAGAGAGGCCATAGAGGGAGAGAGAGAGGCCATAGAGGGAGGGAGAGAGGCCAGAGAGGGAGAGAGAGAGGCCATAGAGGGAGGGAGAGAGGCCAGAGAGGGAGGGAGAGAGGCCAGAGAGGGAGGGAGAGAGACACACCAGGGAGAGAGAGACCAGAGAGAGACCTTTGTAAAGTCCCTCTCTCTGGTTCGGTCTCAGTTCTCCTCACAGTCCCGTGTCTCGCAGGTGATGGAGTTCGATACCTCAGACGACCAGAACGAGCCCGAGTTCAGTCCCACAGAGACCTCACCCCTCACTGACTCCACCGACGAGGCCGACCTGAGGGATCTGATGGTCTCCAACAAACAGGTGCAATCTGAGGCTGCTCTCTCTCTGGTCTTTCTGGTCTCTCTGGTCTGTCTCTGGTCACTCTCTGGTCTCTCACTGGTCTCTCTCTGGTCTCTCTCTGGTCTCTCTCTGGTCTCTCTCTGGTCTCTCTCTGGTCTCTCTCTGGTCACTCTCTGGTCTCTCTCTGGTCTCTCTATGGTCACTCTCTGGTCACTCTCTGGTCACTCTCTGGTCTCTCTCTGGTCTCTCTCTGGTCTCTCACTGTATTGTTATCGTTGTGACAGGACTTGGACCCGAGCTACATTGATGATGATGAAGATGAAGGTGATGAAGATTACCTGTCGATGCAGAGGCCTGAGGTGAGACCAGAAGTGAAGACCCGCCTGGAGACCATCGATACCGAAGACCAGAACTCACACTTCTTCTTCCACCTGGTCACTCTGGCCTTTCTGGTGGCCATCGTCTACATCACATACCACAACAAGAGGAAGGTCAGTGTCCTAGAGGCGTGAGGGGGGTCTCTCTCTCTCTACTCTCTCTGGACTCTCTCTCTCTAGTCTCTCTAGTTTTATTTATTTATTTGGAGGATAAGCCCCTTGAGATGAATCATCTCGTTTACGAGGGGGTCTCTCTGGACTCTGTCTGGTCTCTCTCTGGACTCTCTCTGGACTTTCTCTGGTCTCTTTCTCTCTCTCTGGTCTCTCTAGTCTCTCTGGACTCTGTCTGGTCTCTCTCTCTATGGTCTTTCTGTTGACCCATGCTAACCCCCCCCCCTCTCACCTCTCCCCCTCACCCCCTCAGATCTTCCTGTTGGCTCAGAGTCGCAGATGGAGAGACAGTCTCTGTTCTCGGAACACAGTGGAATATCATCGTCTGGACACGAACGTCAACGAAGCCATGCCCTCCCTGAAGATCACCCGAGACTACATCTTCTAACACACACACAGACGGACACAGGCGCACGACACACACACACACACACACAGGCGCACAACCCACAGAGAGACACACACGACACACAACACAGAGACACACACACGACACACACAGAGATACAGACACACACACGACACACACAGAGATACAGACACACACACACACACACACGGCACACACAGAGATACAGACACACACACACACACACGACACACACAGAGATACAGACACACACACGACACACAGAGATACAGACACACACACACACAGAGATACAGACACACACACAAAGACACACACTTGTGTGCACCTCCTACAGACGAGTGCTTCTCAAACTGGGGACCAACATGTTTCTCCAGATTTGAAATGTTCTGGAGTCTCTCAGTGGTCCGTGCACCCCAGTTTAAGAACCACTGCCTCCCCATGACCTCGTTACACTACGTCGTCCACGGCAACAACTGCTTTTTTACTTCCTGTAAATGTCTTTTTGCTAATTTAAGTTTTGATCGATGAGCCTTAATCTTCCTGATTTTATTGTATTTTTATGTTTTTCTTCTCAATCAAAGTCCAAACGTGTTGATGGTCCCATGGTCCCAAGTACCAGAGGACAGGGGTAATGTGTTCTCATGGTCCCAGGTACCAGAGGACAGGGGTAATGTGTTCTCATGGTCCCAGGTACCAGAGGACAGGGGTAATGTGTTCTCATGGTCCCAAGTACCAGAGGACAGGGATAATGTGTTCTCATGGTCCCAGGTACCAGAGGACAGGGGTAATGTGTTCTCATGGTCCCAGGTACCAGAGGACAGGGGTAATGTGTTCTCATGGTCCCAGGTACAAGAGGACAGGGGTAATGTGTTCTCATGGTCCCAGGTACCAGAGGACAGGGATAATGTGTTCTCATGGTCCCAGGTACAAGAGGACAGGGATAATGTGTTCTCATGGTCCCAGGTACCAGAGGACAGGGGTAATGTGTTCTCATGGTCCCAGGTACAAGAGGACAGGGGTAATGTGTTCTCATGGTCCCAGGTACCAGAGGACAGGGGTAATGTGTTCTCATGGTCCCAGGTACCAGAGGACAGGGGTAATGTGTTCTCATGGTCTCAGGTACCAGAGGACAGGAGTGATGTGGTCACATGGTCCCAGAGGACAGGGGTGATGTGTTTTCATGGTCCGATGGTCTTTGTCTTGATGGTCTTACCAGTGAATGTTTTGCTGCTTTAGCTTTGTCTGTGGAGCCTTGAACAGAAAAAACCTGAAGAAAAATGTATAAAACTGTTTATGAGAGATTTTTATTATAAAAACTTGTCCGAGTCGGGTCCGGGTCGGGTTGGGGTCGGGGCCGGGCCGGGTCGGGGCCCAGTTGGGTCTGAATATTCTTATATGGAGAGTGGTCTGAGTGAGCATAAGCTGGAGCTAGTTTCCTTATATGGGCATTTGTTCTTCGGGCAGACGTGTTGCTAAGACGGTTGCTAGGGCGGTTACTACGACGGTTACTAAGGCAAGCTGGAGTTTCCCCGTGAATGAAGGCCTGGAATTGGTCATTGAATGGGACACAAGCAGTTACTGAGCGAGAGGAGGCTATGGTTTTCACAGCAGTGTGAAAGTAGAGCTCTGACTACAGACGCTGCTCCATTCTTCCATCACATCATTTTAATCATTTTTAAATCTTTTCTGAGTCACTCTCAGCCGCTGTTTCTTATGAAGTGAAAAATTTCATGTTTTCTAACTAATTTAAAACATCTCTGTGCTTTGTTCTGTTTGTACATTTTATCACGAGACAAAAACTGTTTTATTATCGCGAGACTTCACTCCCTCTGCACGTAGCTCTTTGTGGAGTGTGTGTGCCGCCCCCTGCTGGAGGAACTATAGCTGTGCGCAAAGTCTGAATAAAGCACAATGACCCCAGACCTGTGTGTTCTCTATAACTGTGGGAGAGGGACCAGAGTGGGAGAGGGACCAGAGTGGGAGAGGGACCAGAGTGGGAGAGGGACCAGAGTGGGAGAGGGACCAGAGTGGGAGAGGGACCAGAGTGGGAGATGCGGTTATTCTATTCTAAATACTTGGTGTAATATACAGTAATTAAATATTCTCACCAGAAACAAGATTTTTTTTTTTTTTCTATTTCTGGAATTGCCTCAGTCCTGGGTCTACAGCCTCAGTCCTGGGTCTACAGCCTCAGTCCTGGGTCTACAGCCTCAGACCTGGGTCTACAGCCTCAGTCCTGGGTCTACAGCCTCAGTCCTGGGTCTACAGCCTCAGTCCTGGGTCTACAGCCTCAGTCCTGGGTCTATAGCCTCAGTCCTGGGTCTACAGCCTCAGTCCTGGGTCTATAGCCTCAGTCCTGGGTCTACAGCCTCAGTCCTGGGTCTATAGCCTCAGTCCTGGGTCTACAGCCTCAGTCCTGGGTCTACAGCCTCAGTCCTGGGTCTATAGCCTCAGTCCTGGGTCTACAGCCTCAGTCCTGGGTCTACAGCCTCAGTCCTGGGTCTACAGCCTCAGTGCCGTGTTTGGCCACTAGGTGTCAGTGGTGTCTTTGGTAAAAGAGTCTCGTGCTGCTCCTGAGCGAAAGTAAAACAGTGATGTATAAAAACAGCGGTAAATCTGTTTAGTAGTAAGTAATCTTTATTTATATACCGCCTTTTCACTGCACATCGGAGTCTCAAAGCGGTTTACAATTATTTTTGGGAGTGGGGCCAGTACAGGAGGCACATGCCAGACCTATTGTACATATTTTTAGTGGTAGGGGAAACCGGAGCACCCGGAGGAATCCTACGCAGACACGGGGAGAACATGCAAACTCCACTCAGAAAGCCCCGTGTCCAACCGGGATTACAACCCAGGACCTTCTTGCTGAGAGGCGAGAGTGCTATCCACTCAGCCACCGTGCCGCCCAGGTTTAAACTTATTTTTCTGACACAAAAGATACGTTTCTATTGATATGAAGATCCATGGTCTGTTCTGTTACCCACACCTCTGAGGAGCACAGGGACCGGCCTCCTGCTGGGACTCTGAGGAGCACAGGGACCGGCCTCCTGCTGGGACTCTGAGGAGCACAGGGACTGGCCTCCTGCTGGGACTCTGAGGAGCACAGGGACTGGACTCCTGCTGGGACTCTGAGGAGCACAGGGACTGGACTCCTGCTGGGACTCTGAGGAGCACAGGGACTGGCCTCCTGCTGGGACTCTGAGGAGCACAGGGACTGGCCTCCTGCTGGGACTCTGAGGAGCACAGGGACTGGACTCCTGCTGGGACTCTGAGGAGCACAGGGACTGGACTCCTGCTGGGACTCTGAGGAGCACAGGGACTGGACTCCTGCTGGGACTCTGAGGAGCACAGGGACTGGACTCCTGCTGGGACTCTGAGGAGCACAGGGACTGCTTCAAAGGCCCTGCAGGCTCTGCTCAGACCACAGAAAAAGTCATCAATCTGTGGATATTTTTTTTCTCAGACTCCAACAGAACATTTCTGAGCAGAGGAGCAACGACAACACAGAGAAACAAATGCTTTTGAAAATGTTAATATGGTACTGAGGTCTCTCCCTCTGGTCTCCCTCTGATCTCTCTCTGGTCTCCCTCTGGTCTCTCTCTGGTCTCTCTCTGGTCTCTCTCTCTGGTCTCCCTCTGGTCTCCCTCTGGTCTCTCTCTGGTCTCCCTCTGGTCTCTCTCTGGTCTCCCTCTGATCTCTCTCTGGTCTCTCTCTGGTCTCGCTCTGGTCTCGCTCTGGTCTCCCTCTGATCTCTCTCTGGTCTCTCTCTGGTCTCGCTCTGGTCTCCCTCTGATCTCTCTCTGGTCTCTCTCTGGTCTCGCTCTGGTCTCGCTCTGGTCTCGCTCTGGTCCCTGTCACATGGTTATGATCAGGACATATGTTTATAATCTTATTTACTCTGACGTTTGTGTTTAGTTTTGAAACTCGGCACAAACACTGTTTTGGCTTCAGCATCGCGACACACAGACGACTGACGAGAGGAAAAACATCTACAGCAAATGAGAACCAGGACCGAGGCTGTAGACCCAGGACCGAGGCTGTAGACCCAGGGACCGAGGCTGTAGACCCAGGACCGAGGCTCTAGACCCAGGACCGAGGCTCTAGACCCAGGACCGAGGCTCTAGACCCAGGACCGAGGCTCTAGACCCGGGACCGAGGCTCTAGACCCGGGACCGGGGCCCCAGGACCGAGGCTCTAGACCCAGGACCGAGGCTGTAGACCCAGGACCGAGGCTCTAGACCTAGGACCGAGGCTGTAGACCCAGGACCGAGGCTCTAGACCCAGGACCGAGGCTGTAGACCCAGGACCGAGGCTCTAGACCCAGGACCGAGGCTCTAGACCCAGGACCGAGGCTCTAGACCCAGGACCGAGGCTCTAGACCCAGGACCGAGGCTCTAGACCCAGGACCGAGGCTCTAGACCCAGGGCCGAGGCTGTAGACCCAGGACCGAGGCCGCAGACCCAGGACTTAGATCTAAATGATGTAAAATAAGATTAAAAAACCTTTTCCTGGACTTTGTCTCTGTGGTTAAACATATAGTTAATACTTATTCCATTCAAAATATTTTGGTAAAAGTTATAGAGACTAGAAAGAGACCAGAGAGGGACTTGATGTGGAGACTTGCGACCAGAGATAGAGACCATAGAGAGAAGCCACAGAGAGAGACCAGAAACCCGGTCTCTCCTCTCACTCCTCTCTGACACACAGCGATCCTTAAACAGGATCAAATCCAAAGTTGAATTTAATCTTTTGGTGAAATGTTGAAGTTTGTTGTTGTCTGGTTGCCGCAGCGACGCTCCGGGGCATCAGGAGCATTTACATTCACTGGAACTGAAGAAGAAGAAGAGAATCTGCCAAACAATAATCGCATAAAGTGATGTTTAATCCAACTGCAGACCTGAGAGACTGTGTTTGAGAGATAACACTGAACATGAATACATTAGCACGGGTTAGAGTCAGGAAGGAGAGAGACCAGAGGGAGAGAGAGACCAGAGGGAGAGAGACCAGAGGGAGAGAGAGACCAGAGGGAGAGAGACCAGAGGGAGAGAGACCCGAGAGAGAGACCAGAGGGAGAGAGAGACCAGAGGGAGAGAGACCAGAGAGAGACCAGAGGGAGAGAGAGACCAGAGGGAGAGAGACCAGAGAGAGAGACCAGAGAGAGAGAGACAAGAGGAAGAGAGAGACCAGAGGAAGAGAGAGACCAGAGGAAGAGAGACCAAGAGAGGAGAGACCAGAGGGAGAGAGAGACCAGAGGGAGAGAGACCAGAGAGAGAGAGATCAGAGGAAGAGAGAGACCAGAGGGAGAGAGACCAGAGAGAGAGAGAGACCAGAGGGAGAGAGACCAGAGAGAGACCAGAGAGAGACCAGAGAGAGACCAGAGGGAGAGAGACCAGAGGGAGAGACCAGAGAGAGAGACCAGAGGGAGAGAGAGACCAGAGGGAGACCAGAGAGAGAGACACCAAAGGAAGAGATACCAGAGAGAGAGAGACCAGAGGGAGACGGACTAGAGGGAGAGAGAGACCAGAGGGAGAGAGAGACCAGAGAGAGAGAGACCAGAGGAAGAGAGAGACCAGAGGGAGAGAGAGACCAGAGGGAGAGAGACCAGAGGGAGAGAGACCAGAGAGAGAGAGACCAGAGGGAGAGAGAGACCAGAGGGAGAGAGACCAGAGAAAGAGAGACCAGAGAGAGACCAGAGAGAGACACCAGAGGGAGACCAGAGAGAGAGAGACCAGAGAGAGACACCAGAGGGAGAGAGACCAGAGAGAGAGACCAAAGGAAGAGACCAGAGAGAGAGAGACCAGAGGGAGAGAGACCAGAGGGAGAGAGACCAGAGGGAGACGGACTAGAGGGAGAGAGAGCAGAGAGAGAGAGACCAGAGGGAGAGAGAGAGAAACTAGAAAGATAGTATTTCTTGTTTAAAAGTTCATTTGTGGTTGTGTCTCACGCTCTACGTCTCAGAAGAGTAGATCTTAATCTGTGTGAGTCTGTGTGTGTGTGTGTGTCTGTCTGTATCTGTGTGTGTGTGTCTGTGTGTGTGTGTGTGTTGACACCTGTTGTATTTTTCCACAGAGAAAACCAAAAAATACTAGAGTTACTGTCATTGAAAGAACAAAACATTCTTGCGCTTTTCATTAGCTACGCACAGTTTGGTCTCGCTCTAGTCTCTCTCTAGTCTCTCTCTGGTCTCCCTCTGGTCTCTCTCTGGTCTCTCTCTGGTCTCTCTCTGGTCTCTCTCTGGTCTCTTTCTGGTCTGTTTCTGGTCTCTCTCCTGGTCTCTCTGGTCTCCCTCTGATCTCTCTCTAGTCTGTCTCTAGTCTCTCTTTGGTCTCGCTCTAGTCTCTCTGACAGCTCCATCTTGAATGCAGATTATCTCGTTGCTGGGAGCAGATCTGGTGTAAGCAGTGTGCATAAGTCTCCATCCCCACGTTCCCGCTGGAGCCCGAGGACCTCCACACTTCAAAGAGGGAGCGACGGGCCGTATCTGCCCCAGACACGGAGCCTCGATGCTGGGGAGAATTCATTTGCTGAGGCCCAGAGCCGAGGAGCTCCAGGCCACACACCTGCTGCAGACCAGATCCTAGATCCAAGACTCGAGAATTATTAGATTTGAATAAAACCGAGGAATCAGAGAAAGAGAGACTGCAGCTCTGTTTACTCTGGTCTCTCTCTGGTCTCTCTCTGGTCCCTCTCTGGTCTCTCTCTGGTCTCCCTCTGGTCTCCCTCTGGTCTCTCTCTGGTCTCTCTCTGGTCTCTTTCTGGTCTCTTTCTGGTCTGTTTCTGGTCTCTCTCTGGTCTCTCTCTGGTGTCTCTGGTCTCCCTCTGGTCTCTCTGGTCTCTCTGGTCTCTCTGGTCTCTCTCTGGTCTCTCTCTGGTCTCTCTCTGGTCTCACTCTGGTCTCTCTCCGGTCTCTCTCCGGTCTCTCTCTGGTCTCTCTCTGGTCTCACTCCGGTCTCTTTCTGGTCTCTCTCCGGTCTCTCTCTGGTCTCTCTCTGGTCTCACTCTGGTCTCTCTCTGGTCTCTCTCTGGTCTCGCTCCGGTCTCTCTCTGGTGTCTCTGGTCTCTCTGGTCTCTCTGGTCTCTCTCTGGTCTCTCTGGTCTCCCTCTGGTCTCTCTCTGGTCTCTCTCTGGTCTCGCTCCGGTCTCTCTCTGGTGTCTCTGGTCTCTCTGGTCTCTCTGGTCTCTCTCTGGTCTCTCTCTGGTCTCACTCTGGTCTCTCTCTGGTCTCTCTCTGGTCTCGCTCCGGTCTCTCTCTGGTCTCTCTGGTCTCTCTGGTCTCTCTGGTCTCCCTCTGGTCTCTCTGGTCTCTTTCTGGTTTCTATTCATATTTCAGATTTTACAGTTGTGTTCTATGTTCAAAGTTCACCTTTAAAATTAGGTTGATCTCCCTCCCTCCCCCCCCCGCCCCCCCTTCTCCCCCCCCCCCCCCCCTCCTCCCCCTTCTCCCTCTTTGCCACCGCAGAGTTCAAAGACGACCATCTTTATTCAGTTTTAAATTTCGCAACAATCTGAACTTTTGGAAAGCCATGGTTTGAATGTTCCACTGTTGAACTGCCACAGACTCTGACAGTTTGGATTCACCGACAGCAGATCAGAAAATCACACTCAAACAAACACATTGATGTGGCTCCAGGTATAGGTCTCTCTGGTCTCTCTCTGGTCTCTCTCTGGTCTCTCTCTGGTCTCTCTCTGGTCTCTCTCTGGTCTCTCTCTGGTCTCTCTCTGGTGTCTCTCTGGTCTCTCTCTGGTCTCTCTCTGGTCTCTCTCTGGTCTCTCTCTGGTCTCTCTCTGGTCTCGCTCCGGTCTCCCTCTGGTGTCTCTCTGGTCTCTCTCTGGTCTCTCTCTGGTCTCTCTCTGGTCTCTCTCTGGTCTCTTTCTGGTCTCTCTCTGGTCTCACTCTGGTCTCTCTCTGGTCTCTCTCTGGTCTCTCTCTGGTCTCTCTCTGGTCTCTCTCTGGTCTCTCTCTGGTCTCTCTCTGGTCTCACTCTGATCTCTCTGACCAAAAACATATGTAAAAACTAGTGACTTGGATTATCTTCCATTCCATTTTCTTCTGCTTCATCCGTTGCCGGGTCGCTTCACACTCGGCTGCAAACTGCCCAGAGCATGTTGCAGGTCCTGGCTCGTTGGAGCCAACAGGACGACAGGGAGATGGAAGTATCCGCCCCAACATCCTCAGCCTCTGCCTCTGTAACAGAGGACGTGACGGGGGGATTGAGGAGAACCTCGAAGTATTCCTTCCACCGCCCGACAATATCCCCAGTCGAGGTCAGCAGCCCTCCACCCGCACCGTACACGGTGTTGGCAAAGAACTGCTTCCCCTCCTGAGGCGCCGCACGGTTTGCCAGAACCTCTTCGAAGCCGACCAATAGTCATGCTCCATGGACTCTCCGAACTCCTCCCAGTCCCGGGTTTTTGCCTCTGCAACAGCCCGGGCCGCGGCACGCTTGGCCTGCCGGTGCTGGACAGCTGCCTCAGGAGTCCCACGAACCATCATGGCTCGATAGGACTCCTTCTACAGTCTGACGGCATCCCTTACTGCCGGTGTCCACCACCGGGTTCTGCTGCCGTCGGGATCAGCACCAGAGACCTTGCAACCACAGCTACGAGCCGCTGCCTCGGCGATAGAGGAAGAGAACATGGTCCACTCAGACTCGACCTGGGCACCCTCCTCTGCCAGGACCTGGGAGAAGCTCTCCCGGAGGTTTGAGTTGAAAGTCCGTCTGACAGGGGGGGGGTTCCCAGCAGACCCTCACTACACGCTTGGGTCTGCCAGGTCTGACCGGCTTCCTCCCCTGTAGAGGATCCAACTCACGACCAGGTGGTGATCGGTTGACAGCTCCGCCCCTCTCTTTACCCGAGTGTCCGAGACACACGGCCGAAGGTCAGATGATACGACAACAAAGTGGATCATCGACCTCCGACCTCAGGTCCTGGCGCCCCCTGGTGGACACCCTTGTGCTGGAACATGGTGTTGGTGATGGACAAACTGTGACTGGCACAGAAGTCCAACAACTGAACACCGCTCGGGTTCAGATCAGGGCCGTTCTTCCCCTTCACCCCTCTCCAAGTGTCACTGGCGTCCCCCACATGGGCGTTGAAGTACCCCAGGAGAATAACGGAGTCCCCGGGCGGTGCACTGTCCAGTACCCCTCCCAAGGACTCCAAGAAGGCCGAGTACTCTGCACTGCTGTTAGGCCCGTAGGCACAACAACAGTGAGAGACTTGTCCCCCACCCGGAGGCGGAGGGACGCGACCCTCTCATTCACCGGGGAGAACTCTAACACGTAGCGGCTCCAGGGGATATATATATATATATATATATATATATATATATATATATATATATATTTTATATTATATTTGTTGCGTGTTTGAAAGTTACAGACCTGAGCTTTAATATAAAGACACAGATGATGGAGACAGGACCCTGATGCCACACACCCACATGGTCTGTGTAAATCCTGGTGTTTGCTGGTTCCTAGACTCACCAGAGACAGAGGCCTCTAATCTCCCTCACTCTGACAGACAGAAGACGAGACCGACGAGATTTACAGCGAGACCGGAGCGAGCGAAACCTCAGGCTATTGTGTGAGAGAAACTCCTCCTGGTCTGAGAACGGAAACCATCAGTACAATAAAACAAGAATGAGACTGTGGAGTATATCTGTTCAGACCACAGTGAGAAGAAAGAGGGACCAGAGAGAGACCAGAGAGGGACCAGAGAGGGACCAGAGAGAGACCAGAGAGAGACCAGAGAGAGACCAGAGAGAGACCAGAGAGAGACCAGAGAGAGACCAGAGAGAGACCGGAGAGGGACCAGAGAGAGAGACCAGAGAGAGACCAGAGAGAGACCAGAGAGACACTAGAGAGAGATGAGAAAGAGACTGGAGAGAGACCAGAGAAGGACCAGAGAGGGACCAGAGAGAGACCAGAGAGAGACCAGAGAGGGACCAGAGAGGGACCAGAGAGGGACCAGAGAGAGACTGGAGAGGGACCAGAGAAGGACCAGAGAGGGACCAGAGAGAGACCAGAGAGAGACCAGAGAGAGACCAGAGAGGGACCAGAAAGGGACCAGAGAGAGACCAGAGAGAGACCAGAGAGAGACTGGAGAGAGACCAGAGAGGGACCAGAGAGAGACCAGAGAGAGACCAGAGAGGGACCAGAAAGGGACCAGAGAGAGACCGGATTCATCTTTCGTTCAGTGTAGTATTTTAAAACCCCAAATCTCTCGCATCTCAAAACCAGTCGTGTCTATTTTTAAAACCAGGTTTAAACTATAAGTGGAGACTGTTTTGCACCAGGGCCTTCTGCAGCGGGGCGTGTGGTTTGGGAGGAGGGGGAGGAGGGGGAGGCCGTGATTCTGGGTGGGGTCTTGAGGGTCGTGAGGGTCTTCGGGGTTTGAGGCCTTGATGTGGTCGTCCTGGTCCTGCTCAGGATGTGGAGAGGTCTGGGTGTGGTCCCTGCTGCTCCAGAGACCAGAATACACATGATACATATGGTCCTTTACTATAACCAGAGAGAGAGACCAGGGAGAGAGAGAGACCAGAGAGAGAGAGAGACCAGAGAGAGACCAGAGAGAGAGAGAGACCAGAGAGAAACACCAGAGAGAGAGAGAGACCAGAGAGAAACACCAGAAAGAGACCAGAGAGAGAGCAGGTGTAGCATTAGATTTTCTTTTAGGTCTTTAAACTTTTCATGGTCTCGACAGTTTTTATCCAAAAGAAAAAGTCGGACCAACTTCTGTCTCGTTATAAAACCTGTGTCTTTGGTGTAAGTCACTATTTGACTCAATGGGCTCTTAGGTCTCTCTCTGGTCTCTCTCAAAAGTGTAAATATTACCATGTGAGCTTGTTCTTCCTGGTCACAGCAGTGTGTTATTACCAGGACACTCCCTCTGACCACTTTAAACACAGACTGAGGACTCCCCAAAACTAAAGCAGGGAATACTTCTCCCTCTGGTCTCTCTCTGGTCTCTCTCTGGCCTCTCTCTCTGGTCTCTCTCTCTGGTCTCTGGTCTCCCTCTGGTCTCTCTCTGGTCTCTCTCTGGTCTCTCACTGGCCTCTCTCTCTCTGGTCTCTCCTTGGTCTCTGGTCTCTCTCTCTGGTCTCTCTCTCTGGTCTCTGGTCTCCCTCTGATCTCTCTCTGGTCTCTCTCTCTGGTCTCTCTCTGGTCTCCCTCTGGTTTCTCTCTGGTCTCTCTCTGGCCTCTCTCTCTGGTCTCTCTCTGGTCTCTCTCTCTGGTCTCTCTCTGGTCTCGTTCTGGTCCTGTGTGTATATTTACACCTCTCTTGAGTGTGTGGCTCATGTTTTACACTTTTTTAAACTGTACTTTTCCGTTTCCAGTTTCTTTTGGCTCAAACTCTCGCCACAGCCACAGGTTCAGTGAAGGATCTGAGTGTTATTTAAACACTGCAGCAACTCTGGTCTCTCTCTGGTCTCTCTCTGGTCTCTCTCTGGTCTCTCTCTGGTCTCACTCTGGTCGCTCTCTCTAGTCTCTCTCTGGTCTCTCTCTGGTCTCTCTCTGGTCTCACTGTGGTCTCTCTCTGGTCTCTCTCTGGTCTCTCTCTGGTCCCTCTCTGGTCT